TTCTTTTGCTGCTTAGTATATATAGGTCAACGTCGAAATTCGATTGGTTGAATGAGTTCAGTTGTATGCCTCTTTTAGCAAAATAGGTTTTCAGGAGAGATGAAAATATGGTATCTTGAAAACTACGGGGGAAAAGTCCTTGTACTCTTTGTTAGACTTGCCTGGTGGGATAAAAGGCGTAACATGTGCTCACCAGACCTTTTTGGACCTCCTTTCAGAAGAGTTTGAGGCAAAAAGACATAAGTCAGGTCCGTTCAGAGGCAGGACAACCTAAGTCTGACTTTTGGTCTTGTTTCCATTAACCATGCATATTCAAAACGCTGTAATTCTGCAAAATATCAACGTATCAACGTGAAATTCCACCACAATGTAGATATGAACATGATGATTAGAGGGGTAATGTTATGTGAAAACATCTTAAGTCTCACTAAGGTCTTTCTGCTTCTCAACCCTTCAAGTGTTGGGAATTGAAATTCTTCTTCGGCGTGACGAGTGAACGCTTTAGCTACCATACCCTCCTCATAAATCAAGATGACTTGATGCCGCGTAGAGTACGAGCCTGTTTTGCCAACAGAGATGGTTTTACGTGATATTGGTGAGGTTGGCAGCCAAAAAGAAATTTCTAATTTGACCCCTGACCCTCTTAAACCAACTAGCGCGCACCATAACCCTCATTATTTTATTTATATGTTTGAAAAAACTTGAAGATATTTCAGAGTCAATCAATTTCGATCTGATAATAATGGATGTTTTGAGGGTGCATCACCACTTGCACTTCCTTATGACCATAGTTGTTTGTACAGTAATCACTCTTGAAAGATGATGCGTGTATGACGTGAAATTTGCCTGTGTACTACTTGAAATTTCAAACAAATAAAACGACTTGAAATAAACACGAGCAATTTTGTATCCAAAATGATTATAAAAAGCAAAGGTCTACAGTGATTTATAAACATTCTTGAAAACCGTCAAAATCAAGAATAACACTTCATGCACCTGTATGGGTCTACTACGTCGTGCACGTGCATTGTCTGGTAAACTGTTCTTCGCCTCCATTCCCCCTGCCAGCTTCCGGTTCAGAACAGGGGAGTTAAGTCTAAATTACACCTGTTGAATCACATGTCCGCCATATGGAATACTTGCAGAGTTACCTCTCTTGCTTTCATTCACACGCTACGTCAGAAGTGTATATATTTTTCAGAATAAAGGTTACGAAAATTCTAACAATAACCACGACAGATAAAATAAAGTAATCTTCAACATGTTAATGGTTAAAATGGTCAATATGAAGTTTATTTTTAATATCTGCTTATTCTCTTTGAACCGGAAGCTGACAGGGGTAATTCAGACGAAGAACTATTTGATATGCCACGAGTGGCGTTTAAAATGTTGAATGAAATATATTTTGCGTTAGCACTTATTAAATACGAGGTTGAAAATCTGAGAGCACAACAGTTTGAGGAAATGTGTGTCTACCTTTGATCGTGGCAATATTTTATTTTGATATTGCAAACAGTTTTCGAACCGAAGCGAGGGAAGAACGTTGCCAACCTTTGCTCGCTTCGCTCACATACGGGAAGACTGGTAAGTTCTCTCTCTGTTGCGCAACCCTATTTGCGCTACAGTTTGCATGCTCTGCATCCGATGCAATTAGGGGTGGTGATAAAGAGAAATGGTGGTGCGTTTATAAGATGTCTGTCTTTGAAAAGTTTCTTATCGGTTATACTTCCTGTCCAAATAGAAAGTTCAGGTTCTCCTACTTTCTTTTAAGAGTATAGTAACCACTAGATCCCATCAGAGCGCCTACTACCGGGCAGTTATGATCATCGTTCTACTTGACAATACAATATCGATCAGAACATTTATTTCTTTATGAGTAACCTCTGAGTTCCCAGTAACCTCTATATGTTCGGAATAGTATACATACGTATAAATAGTTGATGATGTGCATACCTTCAACTCACTTTGCCCAACTGTCAAATCGGAAAATGTTGTGTGGGCAGAAAATATGTACACCGTATACCATACATTCATCTAACTGACTTCGTTAAACAAATAAATCACGTTAGTGTGCTCTGTACAGAAGGAGCATGCTATACAATATGTGTAACTCATTGAGAAAGCATCACCATATGGTCCAAGTAACTAGTTTGCTGGCAGTGGTGAATACTTTTTACAGGGAAATAAGCAAAAATCATTTTCTGTATTAACAGTAAAAGTAGATCGACTGTTTGGTCATGCTCGGTTTAAAAAAGAGGTTTGTTTTCTTTCTCTTTTTTTTCATACAGCTTGGATTTTTCTCGTCACGATATGGTTGAAATATTGCCGATGTGACGATAAATTGTAACTCACTCACTCATACAGCTGGGAACTAGTTTGTGTTCTGATACAAATCGCCTCCCTTCGCCAAACTATTCATCATTTCTTTACACTTCTACTTGTTCCTACATAATGGTCCTCCCTCTCGACTTGCTTAAACATTTATGTGGAATGTTCATGGCTGCTAGTTGCACATACTTGCTACAATGCCTGACGTTTTTCAGACAAAACTGAGAGGTGTGGGCATCCATGTGTAAACACTTATATTCCAACATAACGCCCAGTAATACATTAATTTCCTCAACAAAAACAGAGCTATACTGAGTCAAAAAAGAAACTTCACAATCTTTCTTTAGGGCACTTTAAAAGAACAAGAGATGGTAAGATGGTTAAATTGGTATTATTTCATATCTGAGATCTGTGTGATGTACTCGATGCACTAACAGTGTCATGATCAGTTCCATTAGGCAACACCGCCGTTCCAAAACATGGGTATACAGAATGTCAAATCACAAGAATAAAAATGCGAAATTTCTCAGTTCAATATCGTGTATGGCCGCCCCACGATAGGGATCCCATTTCGGATACATAGATGTATCATCAGAGAAAAATTATTCATTATTTTTCAAATTACATTTTGTGAAGTTTCTTTTTTGACTCAGTATATATTATAATGCACACTGGGCCAGCAATATATCCATTTCCGTCACAATAGTTTGCATACCCGTAAGATGCGGTTGCCAGAAACCAATCTAAAAGTAACTCATAGTTCACAATTAGGGTTCATCAAGTCATGAAAATATTCACCTAGTAGCAATAGTGGTCAGACTTTCAAAATAGGCATAAGCATGGTTATCCAGGTTAGTCGCGTAATGTCAATTAAGACTCGTGTTCTTAAGTAAATACATTCTGGAAAGTCCTGTGTCATGTTGTAATGGTCTAAAACAGCTTGGGGCGGTGGGTAGCCTTGTGGTTAAAGCGTTCGCCCGTCACGCCGAATACCCGGGTTCGATTCCCTACATGGGAACAATGTGTGAACCCCATTTCTGGTGTCCCTCGCCGTGATATTGCTGGAAAATAGCTAAAAGAACTCACTCTAAAGCACCTTAACGTTCCAGAAAACACATAACGCAAAATCGCAACATATAGTAACGTCCACACTACCACTTACATTATAGTTTAAATCATTTCTGACAACTTATCATTGTTAAACCAACGTTATGGACTTCAACTGAATTTCAACACACAAAAAAATTGGTAAAACAATTACACTGTTTCATAATAAATCACATTAGAGACAGTGCTATAATGCACCGGATTTCTAAGATGCAAACATCAGGGGTCATGATTGTTCTACCCCAACATATCACCAATGTTAAAACGACTGAGACCACAGGACTAATCTTCTTTTTTTTCTTTCAATGGTGTAGAAAACAAAACAAAACAAATCCAGTGCCCTCAACCACCGGAATCCCTTATTCCACCTCACAGGGACGAATCCCACGCAAAACGGGTTGCCCAATTCGGCAACCTTTTACGACAAGCAATGGGAAGCCGATGATTAGCATTACCCAAAACTGGATGTTGGTCTTCACATTGAACCCATGTGGGGGAATCGAATCCGGGTCTTCGGCGTGATGCGCGAACGCTTCAACCACTAGGCTACCCCATCGCCCCAGGTGCAAAGTGTTGACAACATTGGATGAAATAACAATGAACCAACTGACAGACAGACAGTTTATTCTGTAAAAAAGGCCATAGGCCCATAAACAGGCAATGCTTGGTTGCATGAATAACACATAATAATAACGACTATACAATAATAATACAGTTGATTTGTTATGCACCAAAACACCAGGCACGTTGTGTCTGCTCATGGCGCTACACAAAATGAAAATACACTGCAGTAGATGTGCTATATTTTCACTGGTATATCAATCTTTCTAGAACTTTTGGAAGAGATGAGTCTTTAGGCAGTTTTTAAAGATTGCCAATTATTGGGATTTCTTTATTTCCAAGGGAGGATCGTTCCACAGAGTCGGGGCCATGTGAGCAAATGATCTCTGTCCAAGCTTTTTGAGGCGAGTTTTGGGTACTTTAAGAAGTAACAGATCAGCAGATCTAAGTGTCCGAGAAGGTTCATATTTCTCAATCCATTATGTCAGATAGGCAGGAGCTGTTTGACTGACACATTTATATGACAAGGCGAGAATCTTGTATTGGACACGAGCTTGGACTGGGAGCCAGTGTAGGGAAGTTAGCACTGGTGTTATATGTCCACACTTCCTAGTTCGGTCATCCATTGATAGATTGTTGTCGATGAAATATTGTCAATAAAGGATGTTACAGTCATGGGCGTTATAGGCCGTGATATTTTACTGGTAATGATTTGTGATTATGAAACTTTGCCGAACATCAGGCACTCATGTTGCCTTCATCAGATGATAGCAAACCTGTATGTCTCTCATGTGCTTTTGGTGAACCATAGTGTAGATGCAGAGAAATATTGTATGAATATGACATGGTTATCTCCCCGTCCCCACCCACCATCGAATGTGACCAAGGCCGATTTTGCAGTGTAACTAAGGCTTTCCAACTAGACCATGTTGTCAAAGATGCTTTTAATCATTACATGGTTTTTTATGGTTAGATCTGCCATGCTGTGTGACAGCACATCTTACAGAATGTGATCATATCCATGCGAAACACATTATCACTATCATAATTCTCAACTGAGACATCAGCTCCTCTCTCTAACAGTAAGTCAAACACACCTCTATCCTCTAGTTCTGTTGCAAGCATAACTGGAGTATACCCGTCATTCCCCTTACTATTTATGTCAACAACATTTAGGTTTAGAATATACTTTACTGTGTTCTGATCTCCTCCTTGACAGGCCAAATGAAGGATGTTGTCACCATTTTCATTTACTGTCGACAGATTAGCTCCACCTTTCACAAGATACTCAAGTACTGCTGAGTGGCCGTGAACAGCTGCTATGGACACTGGGGTTGTCCCGTCAGAGGCTTTAGTGTTTAAGTCCACTATGTTTTGTTTTAATACATACTTCACTATGTCTATATTTCCTCCTACACAGGCCGAATGAAGGATGTTGTCACCATCGTCATCTTCTACCGACAGATCAGCGCCATTTTTCACAAGATACTCAAATAATGTTGAATGGCCGTAAACAGCTGCTATCAGTGCTGGTGTTCCCCCGTCAGCCCGCCTACTGTTTATGTCCACTATGTTTTGTTTGAAGACATGTTTCACTATGTCCATATTTCCTCTTCGACAGGCCGAATGAAGGGTGTTGTAACCATAGTCATCTTCTACCGACAGATCCGCTCCACGTTTCACAAGATACTCAAATAATGTTGAATGGCCGTAAGCAGCTGCTATCAATGCTGGTGTTCTCCCGTCAGCCCCTCTACTGTTTATGTCCACTATGTTTTGTTTGAGGACATACTTGACTATGTCCAAATATCCTCCTTGACAGGTCAAATGAAGGACGCTGTTCCCCAATGTATCTACTGCCAACAGATCAGCTCCCATTTCCACAAGATTTTCAAATGCAGCCCTATTCCCAAATGCGGCTGCCAGTAACACTGGTGTCATGCCTCCTCCTTTACTGTTTATGTCCACCACATTGAGTTTGATTATATATTTAACAATCTCCTCACCCCCACCTCGGCAGGACAGATGAAGAATATTCTCAGCGTCATTATCCAACAATGAGAGATCAGCTCCCATTTCTACAAGGAAAACAAACACTCCACTCAGTCCGAACAATGCAGCCAGCATGATTGGTGTATTCCCATGAAAGTCTCTGCTTTCAATGTCAATGGTGTTCATTGAATAGATGTACTTCACTATCTCCAAGTGTCCCTCCTTGGAGGCAAGATGTAAGATACTGTTTTGATCATCATCCAACTGAGACAGATCAGAGCCTTGCTTCACGAGTAATTCAAGTATTTCTCTCTGTCCCTCCTTTACCGCTACCATTGCCGGTGTCCTGCCATACTTCTCCCTTGTATTGATGTTTGCAGTACCTTGTGACAATATGTGTTTCACTTGAATCAGGTCTCCATTTCTGCAGGCATCAATGAGAGGAGAGTTACCAGTGTTCTGATGTTGAGCTTGATGTCGTCCACCTGAAAGAAGGCATACATAAATGGTCAATCTCCCCATGTTGCTCATCATTTTGATAACAATACATGTTGGTAAGTACCTTTGACACAGGCAATTTGTCCAGCACATGTCTTCGGGCATCTCATCCTTTGGCACGTTTTGAAACCAGAGTCGCCAGTTCCGACCTGGAGACAGAAAGTGTTCTATATCAGTTGCATTGTCATCCTTATGCATGAATTGGGCTTAACCCTGGTAAGTGGACTCCTGCTATGTTGTTATCTTTCTACATCAACACACCCCATCCTAACCCTTCCTTTGTCATTATAATACATTGTTATCTTTGTACATTAATCCAATCTTATTGGCTTCGTAATTATATTGTTATCTTTGTACAATCTCCCACCTTGCATTGTGTAAAATATTTTAAGATATTTATACATATATATATATTCACCCTTTGCACTGACTCAGCATTCACCTGGTGGAGGAGCTAGAATAACCCTGCTCATTGCAATGAGAGAGGTCTGTAAATCATCGAGTCTGGACCAAACACTCCAGTGAGCATTGATCCCATTAATCGCAACTTACAGCAGGCATGGGTTGCTGAAAATGAATTTTAAATAGGATCTTCTTCACGATTTACAATAAGAAAGATTGTGCATTAACAATGTATATAAAGGAGATGATTGTAGTCATAATGTGCAAATCGTACATCTGAAAGATCCATAGTTGCAAAAAGAAATTCGGTCTCCAACATCATCATTTCCGGGTCCAAGAGTTGACAAATTTGGTTCTCAATGTTGTATTTGATACCAGGACCACCATACTGTATACACTTGATTAGACACAACTTGAAGCCAGTATTCGTAAAGGTTATAGACTCTACCAGCTGCAGTTGGCATATTAGCACTCCAAATACAAAACAAACTGTTACAAGGTGATAGGTCTTCAGTGTACACACTGTAATTGTCATGCTTGACGGTGTATGCAATATACACAACTAGCAGACCGGATCCAGTGACATACAGTGGCAACAATTTTGTCTCAAACCTCACCTTTTCTTCAGTAACATTATCTTGGGATGAACCATAATATCAAATTCAGTTAGCTTGAGTGCTCTAATCTCACCTTTAATATAAATAAATAATAAATAAATGGGCATTTTTATAGCGCCTAATCCATAAATCCTACGCTGAAACCTTTAGCTGATAGGTATTCAGTGCTGTTCAAATGAATTAATGATGTCAATGTCTGGTGAAGATAATTTTAATGGCGCGAACAAAAACTTACTTATACTTACCGACACTTGGAATAGTATTGGAATTGCTGGAAATGCTAAATCATGTTTACGTGTTTGTAATCATTTGGGTATATTTCCATGTTTACCTAGTTTCGGTATCTTTGCACGAGTTATAGAAATGTGTTTCCTGTTTACATCATTGTCTATACAAGTCCAATATCGTGACAGGTGTATTATTATTTCGTATATGCCAAGGGCGAGAAACGTCGAGAAACCTAATTAGTGACATTTCCTTGTGTGCACATACCATAAGGATTATTTTGCACAGTTTACCGTTTGAAACCGTATTTGAAACGTTTGAAGTAAATGAAATCTATCAAATTTCGACTGCCGTGATAGAAAGACGTTTACTTATCTTGAAGGTACGCCGTGCCTTAGCATTTAAAATTTAAAATTTATTCAAATTATGGACCATAGAATGGCGACGGAAATAATTCTCAGCTTTCTTCCGTGCCTTCCTAGCCTGTTTGCACTCACCCAAGTAGGTATTAATAAATTACATGAAATAAAACCCTACATTGGTTACACCTACTTGGGTTGTCAGTCCAGATATGAAGAGGTCATTATGCGACGATGTCGCATTGGCCACACTAGATATACTCACGAATATTTACTGAAAGGCGAGGATCCTCCGTTTTGCATCCCTTGTGATGAAAGAATCACAGTCAAGCATGTCCTGCTTGACTGTGTTGAATATTCCATCACAAGGGATAAGTTTTTTAATGTCAAAACATTGAAGGATCTTTTTTATAATGTTGGTTATCATTTGATAGTTGACTTTTTAAAAGAATTAGACTTGTTGACTGATTTGTAAATAGCTAAATATTTTTTGATTGGAAGTTTGAATTAGTAACTGAGATTGTTAGTGGCTGTATCCTCGAGGGGGGTTGAAGTACTGTAAAATTATTGTCCTCCTGAGAGGGTACGTAAGTCCCAAAACATTCAAAGTAAATTTCAACTTTCCGTTTTTTAATCGTAGAATATGTGTAATTTTATGTATGGCTAGGTATATCTCAATTGCTAACAGCTGAGGGGATGATGTAAATCCAGCTGGGGTCTATGCAGGAAGCAAATGTACTGTAAGTCCCCATGGTCCCTAGTATGGTGATCTACCTTCAGTTGTTGGCGATCTATGGCCCATTTTTATATTGTGTTGTCCCCTATAGTTTAAATTTTTTAGATTCAGTTACTAGTTTTACATATATATCTGTGATATTCTGGTTGTTTTGCTGTCCTTCGTCGGCAGGTTTTTTGTAGTATACATGTATATCAAATGTTCTCGTCACGATATGGCTGGGATATTGCCGATGTGACGTTAAATATTAACTCACACACTCACACATTGTTGAACCATGGTTTTCGTATGTGTGGAATTGCAGAGGATTTGGGGATACACTCATCAGCAATGTTGATTAGGTCGTCAGAGAAATCCTTTATAGGATCAGGACTTTCTATAAAATGTTCAGGTTTAAGTCTGCTACAACACAGAGCTTCATACAAAGGCCAGTTAGCCTTCGGTGTAATATCAGATGGGTTCACAGGTGTTAGAATTGTAGGAAAATGGTCACTTCCACACAGGTCATCGTGAACTGACCATTCAAATTCATTCAGTAGGTTTGAATCCGTGATTGATAAATCAAGCGCTGAATAAGTTCCAGTGCCAGGATGTAAATAGGTGTTGGAACCGTCATTGTATATGCATAAATCATTATCTGAACAGAACTCTTCTAACAGTTTACCTTAAGCATTAGTAGTTGTACCACCCCAAAGTGGGTTGTGACCATTTAAGTCCCCCCATAATAATACAGGGTTTTGGCAGTTGGTTATATAGAGTTTGAAGATCAGTTTTCTGAATGACTGAAGATGGTGAGATATACAAAGAACATAATGGGAATGCAACGTGTAAAGTGAGTCGCACTGCAACTGCTTGAAGATTAGAAGTAAGTGTTATAGGGCTATGGATAACATTCTGTTTGACTAGTATTGAAGAACCTCCAGTGGCCCTGTCACCCGGAGGTGAGAAATAATGATAAGCATAGACATGACGTAGGTCAAAAGGATCTGCCTGCTTTAAATAAGTCTCCTGCAAACAGAATGCTGACGGCATGCAATCCTGGACTAATAACAGTAATTCATTATAATTATGCCTCAGTCCTCTGCAATTCCACTGTACAATATTATTGGAATAAACTATCTTTTCGGCGGATTTATTGGGGATCTACCCCTCACCGTTTTGGAGCGCGACAAGCTGTGTGCCCTATATTGGACGTTTTCGGACACGTCCATGTCCTCAAGTGATCCATATTTGTTGTAAAGTTTAATTTTATTTTCAGACCCTTTTGGGGCTCTGCCACTTTGTTTTTTTGAATAATCAGGCTTAGGTTTATTCTTGCCTTTAGTAATTTGATGGACATTAGATAGCGATTGAGACTTTGTGGTTGACTGAGAGGATGCGTCAGGATCAGGAACTTGCTCTGATTGGGTTTGAGACATGCCAGAAAGTGGCTCCGCTGTTTGAATCGATATTGCACATGAAAAAATCTGAGGAGAATCGGTTTTCACCCAAGTCAAATTTGTTTGGCAGCTGGAAGATGATTTAGGTATTTTAGGAGTTGTCTCAGATGGTTTTCTGGTTTTTGAAGCATATGTCTCTTGTTGGTCGTATCTTTGTACAAGTTGTTTCGCTTAAGCAAAACTAATATTTTGAGTAAATTTGAACCGGTTTATTTCCATCTGATGTCTCCAAATCGGACACTCTTTAGAGAAAGAGGGATGGTCTCCTGAACAATTGGTGAATTTTTTGTAAGTACTGTCACAATCTTCCGTTGTGTGTGTTTTCTCACCACAGTGAGCACACACAACAGACAATGTGCAGGTATTGACACCATGACCATACTTCTGGCACTTGAAGCATCTCAGTGGATTTGGTATGTATGTATCCACTTTGATGTGACAGTAACCAGCCTTTATTGACTTTGGAGCAGTCGGAGTGGAGAAAGAGAACAGATACGTATTGGTTAGATGGATTTCATCATTTGTCCGGGTTGTGAAGCGTTTAACATATATAACACCTTGTTCTTTCATCTCGGAGACAATATCTATTTCCAGCATGTCACTAAAACGTCTATCCCGGTCTCTAATTATGCCCTTGCTGGTGTTAAGCGTTCGGTGGGCAGAGACTGATACGGGAATGCCGACAAATGAGTCAGTTGACAGGAGGTTGGTAGCCTGTTGTTTTCTACCACATTCAACTAGAAGTGCACCTGTCCGCAAACGTCCCCTGCAATGCCTTGTATGCCTTTTGATACAGCAAAAGGGTTCAGCTTTAAATGTGTTTTGTCAACGGTCTCAATCACAATGAAACGTGGCCAGTAGTCAATGGATGTGGGCAGTCTTTGGTCGTTAACATCAGGATCAGTGTCAAGTGGACGTTTCTTTTTTGTAATGGGGGTTTCGTAAGCCATTGTTATTGTTGAATGGTTCATCATCCGAGCTCCCCACCCACCACGGATTATCACAAGGACAATGCTAAAAACAGGAGGGTTTCCAGCCTGCAGCACCAAGGATACCCGGGTGATATACGCAAGCAGAATAATACAAAAGTAAGTATTCCACCTGATTGGCCCATGAGCCACCGCCTTCTGGGCAAAAACATGAAAGTGTGTATTTGAAATTCTAAAAATTCGCCAAGACTTAAAAATAGTAGGTTACAATTTTCAAAAT